GATGTTTTCTTGATGTGCACTTACCCTTTATATAAAACTCTCTCTTAGACATATGAGTTTCTGTGGATTTGTTTCTCTAAAGTACTCAGACTGACACAAACTCTGACTGTATTACCTTGCTAGATTTATCTTTATTTAGTAACAATTTGCCTGCTATTTTTGCTCCAGATTTGAAAATATCAGTAGATCATGTACTTGCTGCCCTCTGTCACACCACCGACACTAAAATTACAAGTCTTTTGAAATTGTTGCTGGCTGGAATATAAGGACGAGTTTCCATGTATAAATTTAATGTATTCTCTTACTAGTTTGTTTCCCTTCATGTGTTTGACATGTGGGTTATTTGTTAATATGTGTGAAGTAGAACTCATTTTTCTCCTTTATTCCATATTGGACTAAGTTAACCTAAGATTACTTTCACAAAAACTCAGTATGATGAAGATAATGCTTTCTCCAAAGTATTTATATTTGTACCTTTTCCCCTCTCCCCAGAAAGCACTTTGTAGGAAGCCAACATCTATCAGGATAAATATAGAAGCAAAAGAAGAAATCCCTTTGAAGGCCCTTCAAGGTCTTTCAACTATGGTATATGATCATTCCTCTATGCAGAATGAGGTAGGGAAATAAATTTAAGGAATAGAGGGGAAAATAATGACTTGTTAGAACTCTCCATCTAATTAAAGATAGGATTAGGGTAAAGATTATGTATAGTACTTTTACATAGCTTTATTGAAATATAATTCACATGCCATCAATCTATCCATTTGAAGTATATACTTCAATGTGTTTGGGTATATTCACCATGTTTCCCTCCATTGTGGTTATTTTGTGCCAGTGAACTGATTCGGACCCAGGGCAACCCTGTGCACAGTAGAACGAAACACCACATGGCCCAGCGCCATCCTCACAATTGTTCCTAGGCCTAAGCCCATTTTTGCAGCTGCTGTGTCAATCCATCTTGTTGAGGGGCTTCTTCTTTTTCACTGCTCTTCAACTTTACCAAACATGATGTCCTTCTCCAGGGACAAGTTTCTCCTGACAACATGTCCAAAGTACGTCCAAAGTGCTTCTAAGGAGCACTCCATACTTCTTCCAAGACAGATTGATCTGTCCTTTTCAGCAGTCTAAGGCACTTTCAATATTCTTCTCCAGCACCACATTTCACATGCATTGATTCTTTGGTCTTCCTTACTCTATGTACAACTTTCACATATATATGAGTCAATTACAAATACCATGGCTGGGGTTAGAAACACTTTAGTCCTCAAAGTAATAACACCCTTGCTTTTCAATGTTCTAAACAGGTCTTGTGCAGCAGATTTACTTAATGCAATGTGTTTCTTGATCTCTTGACTGCTGCTTCCATGAGCAATAATTGTGGATCAAAGCAAGACAAAACCCTTTACAACTTCAATCTTTTCTCCATTTATCCTGGACCTATTGGTTCAGTTGTGAGGATTTTGGTCTGTTTTACCTTGATTTATAATCCATACTGAAAGCTGTAGTCATTGATTTTCATCAGCAAGTGCTTCGAATCCTCTTCATTTTTAGCAAGGAAGTTGTGGCAGATGCATATCTCAGGTTAGTAAGACTTCCTCCAATGCTAATGCTATGTTCTTCATATAATCCATCTTCTCTGATGATTTGCTCAGCATTCAGATTGAACACGTATGGTGGGAGGATACAACCTTGATGCACACTTTGCCTAATTTTAAACCATGTAACATTCCCTTGTTCTGTTCAACAACTACCTCTTGGTCTATGTACAAGTTCCTCATGAGCACAATGAAGTGTTCTGGAATTCACATTCTTCTCAAGGTTATCCATAGTTTGTTATGCTCCACACAGTCGATAAAACACAAGTAAACATCATCCTGGTATTCTTTGCTTTGTTCCATCTGACAAGATTTATCTAACATCAGCAATGATATATCTTGTTCCACAACCTCTTCTGAATCTGGCCTGAACTTCTGGCAGTTCCCTGTCAATGTACTGCTGCAACTATTGTTGGATGATCTTCAGCAATATTTTACTTGTATGTGATGTCAATGATACTATTCTGTAATTTGAGCATTCTGTTAGTTCACCTTCTTTGGGATGGACACAAATAATGGATCTCTTCCAGTCAGTCAGCCAAGTAGCCGTCGTCCAAATTTCCTGCCATAGATGAACGAGTGCTTCTAGTGCCTCATCAGCTTATTGAAATAAAAAATATTATCACAATCTAGTTTGTATACATTTTCATCACTCCTGAATGAAGTCTCATACCTACTAATTAGTCCTACCATAAGGAGCCCTGGTGGCACTGGTTGTTAGGTATGGAACTGCTAACCACAAACTTGCTGCTTCAAACTTGCCAACTGCTCCAAGGGAGAAAAAATGAGGCTGTCTTGCTCCTGTAAACATTTACCGTTTCTGAAACTCTAAGTTGTAATTGACTCAGTGGTAGTGGTTTTGGGTTATAGTGTTCATTCCCTCTCTACCTCTTATCCTAAGCAACCATAAATCTGTCTATGATTTTCCTATTCTGGATAGTTCATAGAAATAGAATCATTTGCTTGCCACTTAAGCCCCTGGCATCAGCTCCTTGTTTTGAGAATGATGAGGGCAATGAATGTACAAATGTGCTTTACACAATTGATGTATGTATGGATTGTGATAAGAGTTGTATGAGCTCCTAATAAAATGATTTTAACAAAAAGAAATAGAATCATATAAAATCTTTTCTGATAATTGGCTTTCCCTTGGCATAATGTTTCCAAGGTTCATCCATTTTGTAACTTGTATTCCTTTTACTACCAAGAAACATTGCACTGAATAGATTTATCACGTTTTATTTATGTATTCATCAGTTGGATAGTTGGGATTGTTTCCGTTTTGGCTATTATGAAAAATTGTGCTGATAAAAACATTTACATATTTATTTACGTGTCTTACATATGTAAATATATGTTACATATATTTCTGTGTGGACATAAGTTTTTGTTTCTTTTGCGTAGATGCTGTCTTAATTTTCCAATGCTGCTATGATGCTGGTATAACAAATATAAAAGATGTGGCTTTACTGAACAGAAAGTTATTTTCTCAAAGCTGGGTGGGAAATCAGGTTGTCGTCAGCTTTAGAGGAAGCCTTTTTCTTTCTGTTGGCTCTGGAGAAAGTTTCTCGTTTCCTTGGTTCCTTTCTGTCTAGGAGCACTGGTGGCATAGTGGTTAGCGGATGGAAATCACCAGCTACTCAGTGAGAAACAGGAGGGTCCTACTTCTGTAAAGAGTTACCATCCTGGACTCCGACAGGTGCTGCTCTATTCTGTCCTTGAGTCAGACGTGTTTCGATGGAAGTGAGTTGGGTTTTGAAATTGTTTCTCTCTTTTGGCTTTGGAGGAAGTTCTTTTTTCTTAGCTCCTTAGTTATTACCCCCCATCTCTCTTTGTACTTCTCTATGCCTAATCTACTTTTTAATATCTCAAGAAAGATTGGTTTAAGGCATAGCCAACATTAATACTGTCATATGACAAAGAAAACCCATGTTCAGATGGGATTATAACCACAAATATAACAAGAACAACAAAAACGAAACCCACTGCTGTTGAGTCATGGGAGTAGAATTTGCATCACCTATTTTGGGAGATATACTTCACTCCATATAGATACCTAGGAGTAGAATTGCTTGGTCATGTGGTACATCTTCTACATTGTGAGGAACTATCAAACTGTTTTCCATCAGCAGTGTTTAGGGGTGAGAGTTTTTCTACATCCTTGCCAGCACTTGTCTCTCTTTTTTATCATAGCCATCCTTGTAGATGAAGAACCTGAGTTCATTTTTTTTGTATATTTGTGTGGTAAAAGTAGACATACCAAAACATCCACTGATAACAACAGCTACATTTACAATTTGATTATATTAAATTTGTATGTTGTATCAGCTGTTACTGTTAATCCTTCCAAAGTATTCACCATCATTAAAATAAGTGCCCCTCAAAAACTCCCGTTTCTCCTTACCTTTTACCCTAATAGCATTTCATGTCTTTTTCTTTATATCTTTTTCTTACTTCATGTAAGTAATCTCATACAGTATATGTCCTTTTGTTATGGATTTATTTCAGTTGTCATGTTACGTGATCAGGGTTATCAGGTTAATCATAATGCTATCAAGGTTCATCCTCGTCATGGCATATGTATCAGAACTTCATTTCTCTTTATGACTGCTCAATATTGCATTGTGTGCATGTATCACATTTTGCTTATCCATTCACCTATTAGCAGACATTTCCGTGTTTGCACCTTTTGGCTACTGACAGTGTTAGATTGAGCATGGTATACAGGTCTCTGTTTTGTTCCTGCCGTCACTTCCTCAGGGTACATGCTTGAGATTGGGATTGCTGGGTCCTCTGGTAACTCTGTATTCCACTTTTGAGGAACCACAAAACAGTGCCACAGTGGTTCCACCATTTTATAGTTTTTCTAACATTTACTTGCTCTTTCCTTCCTTCCATTAAAATCATTACCCATGTAATGGGGGATAAAGTAATATATCACTGTGGTTTTGATTTGTAGCTCCCTAATGGTTCGTGTGGGGCACTGGTGGCATAGTGGTTACGTATTGGGCTGCTAACCTCAAGGCCCACAGTTTGAAACCAACAATCAGCTCCGAGGGAGAAAGATGACGTATTTTACTCCTATAAAGAGTTCATCTTGGAAACCCACAGAGTAGTTCGACTCTGACCTCTAGGGTTGCTGAGTCAGTATTGATTCCACTGTAGTGAGTTTTTGTTTGTTTGAATGGTTAGTGATCTTTAACTTCTTTTCATATGCTTCTTGGTCATTTAAATAAACCTCTTGGGTGAATGGCCTGTTCAAGTTCTGTACTCATTTTTCTTTGGGTTGTTTGTCTTTCTGTTAAGTTGTAAAAGTTATGTGTATGTAAATGTTTTAGGTAAAAATTTGCAGGGCAAAGTAGGTTCCAGTTTAGTAATTAAAAGTGTTCTATGACATTGGTTGCAATTTTTGCAATGTGTCAGGTTTCTCATTTCTACTAAAGTTCTGTTTCCATTTATCAAGTTTCCCTGCCCCTTCTTGCTTTTTCATCCTTGCTTTTCGATACATGTTGATCATTTGGTCTCAAATAGAAAAGTTTCTTACATATTTTGCATGTTAGGCCCTTACATGACATGGCTCTTGAAATTTTTCCCCAAATTTGTAGTTATTCACTTTGATGTGCAAAAATATTAAACTTTTATAAGTTTTACCTATAATCTGGTAGTCTGTTATTAAACACTAGACCCTTCCCATTACATTTTCTTCTAAACATTTTATGGTTTTAGTTTTTACATTTAGGCCCTTGAACAATCATCTATGCATGATGTGAATATAAATTAAGGTTTTTAAATTTTGTATATATATAATTTACTTTTAATTCGCATTTTCCTAATGAGTAACGGTGTTGAATATGTTTTTAATTGCTATTGCCATTTGTAAATCTTTTGTGAAGAAATGTCTATTACAGTCTCTTACCCATTTTTCAATTGGGTTATTTGTATTTTTCCTGTAAAAATATAAATGAAGCGTGTCTGATTTTCTCTGGGAGCATTGCAGGGTGGGATCACACCAGAAAAGAAAGTGGCAAAGAACTAGAAAAAAATAACAAAAGTATAATAGAACAAAAGTACAATAGCTGAAGAAATAAAGTAAAAATAAAACTGCCTTGTGAGTGGGGATATCTGCTGCTCTGGAAACATTACCGTGTGAATGTGTATTCTGCATGGGGAAAGGGGGCCAGAGGAGAAAGTAGGAATGAAGGATGATGAAAAAAACGGGGAAAAGTGTAGCTTGGTTACTGAGAATACCTTGCTGCCTCTGAAGTGTGCTGTCCATGCTGGGGAGGAGCAGGGCACACAGAAGTGGCTCTTGGCGCTGATCACTGGTAAGGGGAGTCTCTCAGTAGGCTTTGCTGCTCTCCCACTAAGATCTTTGGTCAGCTTAGCTTTGAAGTTGATTTCCTCTCTGCTAGGAAGTACAGGATGTCCCTCTTAGTGGAGCCTCGCTGGAAGTTGCTGAGGAGCTCTTCCTGTGCTTGTTGTCTGGTGGCCATATTCTCCCATGTTTGGCCTGTAATATTTACGGGAACAGATGGTGAGATTTGTGTCCTATTGAGTGGTGGAAAATGCAAATGCAAACCTTTCAGTTAGCAGTCAAATGCCTAACTATTGTGTATCAGAGCTCTTTCATTCATCTAGAACTTTAATTTCTTTCAACAATGGTTTCTAGTTTTCAATATACAAATCCTTCATTATGTAAATACCTAGTTTTTACAATGTTTGACTATGCTGACTCAATAGTATTATATTCTAATATACTAAACCCATCTATAATATCAACATTTACATATTTACATATATTGTGCATTTGTTATTTTAGAAATGTGACTCTGGAAAATCGTTATCCTTTGTGAAAGATGAGAAATGGACAGAGAATGTGCTTTGGGGTGACCAGCAGGATCTCTTTTCTAAAATCGAAGACAAACCTTTCATCAGAGTTCAGGTAAAGTAGAATGAAAAGGTGTTAGGGCAATAGAAAGTAAACTGATTTCAATTTGGACTAGAAATTGCCAATTTATTGTATGGGTTTAAGATTAGAGATACAGGTTCTGTTAAACTGGGCAAACTCTATAATCTCATATTTATGAATCTCAGAAAGCCTAGAGAGTTGTTATGTATGATATTCTATATTGGTGTTTATGTTAACTTTTAGAAAATAAAGTTCAAAAATCCGGTATTTGATGTGATTGAAGAGCGAGAACTAAAGCAGTTACAGCCTCAAGATATTTTGCCAGAAGCCCAGGATTATCTTCAAGAAACTCAGAGTGATCTGCTGGAAACTCAGGATGATTTGCCAGGAGTCCAGAGTGTTGAGCCAGATATCCAGGCTATTGAGCTGCAAGTTCAAGCTGGGAACCTAGAAACCCAGGCCAATGACCTGGAAACTCAGACTGGTGAGCCCAAAGCCCAGGATGCTGAGATAGAAACTCAGGTTACATTAGAAACCCAGAGTACAGAATTGGAAGATGGGAGGACTATACAGGAAACTTCAGATTTGCTACCCCCAAACCCAAAATTTCAATCCAAAGACCAGAGTTTTTTACTCAAAGAGCAAGATATTCTGCCTGAAGACCAGAATATTCTACCCAAACGCGAGGACCAGGATTTTCTTCACAAAGACCAGGTAAAATAAAGTGAAAAGAATGAGAATAAATAAGCTACTTTTTTTTAAATAGTTTTAAAAACGATTTTACAACTCATCACAATCCATACATCAGTTGTGTAAAGCACATTTGTACATTCATCTCCCTCATCATTCTCAAAACATAAGCTACTTAAGGCATGAACTGAAATTTATAAGGGATATATTACAATTGATTTAAAGAAACAGTTGGAAAAATAGTTTTCTGACTGATTTCTCAAAACTATAGTGTTACTTCAGTCAGACTGTTATCAGCAGCGTACTGTTTCTATCTAAACCATTCACTTTTCTTTGTTAACGTCTTCATTAGGAAACACCCTTCAGAGAGCCCTTACCTTTGACAATTGAAAGTAGGAGGAAGGAATGGCACACAAAATACAGAGCATCTTTTTACCATACTCCAAGGCCAGCCCTCCACTAGACAACAGTTAGACCAACAGGAAGAAGAAAGGGATGAACAGAAAATAATCTTTAGGGTTGTGGCTGGTCTTAATGTAGTATAATTGAATGTGTGAATTGTAGCTTTCTGTTTTGTTTCATGAGGCATTTAGTTATGCTTGGCCCTTAGCTCCACACTTTTCAGTAACGCCTACAGTATTATTAGGTAGCCTGTTACTCAGAACTGAATACTTGATTATGGGATCCAGTCCCCAAATCAAACGTGGCTTAAGGAGAGACTGGTGCTATTAAGGAAAACAAAAAAGACAGGAAGTAGGGCACCAGGGGTCTGATCTCCTTCGGGAGAAAAGCAGCCTGGAGTTTATTCAGCATGGGGCTGTATAGTAATAAGACCTGTAAGCTTCCTTTTAGCATATACACAATAAAATGGGCAGTGTGTTAATCTGGCATATCCTGAGCTTTCTACGGGATCACCCCATGGTAAGTATGGGGCTTTAAAGACACCAAAGGAGTCCCTCCTTGAGTGGGAGGGACAAAAGAATCTGACTGCTCCTAAAAATAGTCATTCTGTAGCTGCCCAGGGAGTAGCCAGGTGCCTGTAGGAGACAGTTTCATCTTCGCACTTTAGTAGAGGGCAGGTGTGAAGTCTTTCTTTTTAAAAAAAATTTGTAAATCATTATATTGGGGGCTCTTACAGCTCTTATAAAAATCCATATATTAATTGTATGAAGCACTTTTGCACATATGTTGCCATCATCATTTTCGAAATATTTTCTTTATACTTTAGCCCTTGGTATCAGCTCCTCTTTTTTTCCTCCATCCCCCACCCTCATGACCCCTTGGTAAATTATAATTATGATTTTCATCTTACCTGCCTGTCCACTGTCTACCTTCATCAATGTTTCTGTTGTTCGTCCCCCTCTGGATGGAGGTGGGGCAGTTATAAGATGATCATTGTGATTGGCTTCCCCCTTTCTACTAACCCCCTCACTCCCCCGCCTTCCCCCTACCCTCATGGTACCCTCATGGTATTGCTACTCTCATTATTGTTCCTGAGGGGATTATCTGTCCTGGATTCCGTGTGTTGAGAGCTTTTAAATATACCAGTGTACATGCTCCGATCTAGCCTGATTTGTGAGGTAGAACTGGGGTTATGATAGTGGGGGAGGGAGCACTAAAGAGCTAGAGGAATATTCTGTGCTGCTTCGGTGCTATACTGTACTGTACGCTGGCTGGTTTGTCTTTTCCTTGTGACCCTTCTGTTATGGAATATCCAACTGTCTACATAGGGGCTTTGGGTCACTACTCCGACCCCCCTCATTCATATTAATATGATTGTTTGTTTTGGGTCTTCTGATGACTGATACCTGATCTTGTTGACACCTCGTGATCACACAGGTGGGCTTTGTTGCTTGCCTGCCAGATGGCCGCTTGTTTAACTTTAAGCCTTTAAGACCCCAGACACTATATCTTCTTTTTTTTTAATCATTCTATTGGGGACTCATACAGCTCTTATCACAATACATACATGCATCCATTGTGTCAAACACATTTGTACATTTGTTACCATCATCATTTTCAAAACATTTTCTTTCTACTTGAACCCTTGGTATCGGCTCCTCTTTTTTTACCCCCACACCCCCACCCTTCCTCCCTCTTGAACCCTTGATAATTTATAAATTATTATTTTTTCATGTCTTACACTGACCGGTGTCTCCCTTCACCCACTTTCTTTTGTCCTTCCCCCACGAAGGGGGTATATGTAGATCATTGTGATTGGTTCCCCCTTTCTACCCCCACTTTCTCCTTACCCTCCTGGTATCACTACTCTCATTGTTGGTCCAGAGGGGTTTGTCTGTCCTGGATTCCTGTGTTTCCAACTCTTATCTGTATCCATGTACGTGCTCTGGTCTAACTGGATTTGTAAGGTAGAATTGGGATCATGATGGGGGGGGGCATTAAAGAGCTAGAGGAAAGTTGTATGTTTCATCGGTGCTATACTGCACCCTGACTGGCTCATGTCTTCCTTATATGGGCACCATCAGCTTTCTTTGCCACATTTGCTTATGCACCCATTTTGACTTCTGTCATCTTGTCAGGAAGGTGAGCATCTCAGAATGCCAGGTTATTAGAGCAAGGTGTTCTTGTTTTGAGGGAACACTTGAGTTGAGGCCTAATGTCCACCTGCTATCTTAATACCTAACATATAAATATGTATACATAGACCTCTATCCCATCATTATATATACACACACACACACACATA